CGGCGAGGGGGTCGTACCCGCCCCTCCCCCCCCCTCGGCCGGCGCGTATGTAGAAAACCAATATAGGTCCGGCGAGAGTTAATTGAAGGTGTTCCGCCGCTACTGACTATAACACGAATGGTTAAAATGAGGAAAGTACATCAAATTCCATGAAAATAACCGCATCTAGGGAAATGATTTAAAAAAAAGAAATTTTCGTGAGAATCTGGGGAAACCAGCGAGACGCCAGCGGTAACGCTGATTAGAAGCTGGCAAACGCCGCACACATGCGAGGGTTAAGCTGCGCTCTGCCGTGCACGATGTCGCTGGAACCGTCAGCAGTAGCTTGACGAGTGTCACGCAGTCAGCCAGGAGTGTGCCGTGCGGATGCTGGCGTCCTGCAGCGCGCTGACATCAGAGAGCGAGCGTAGCGCGATGCCGCGCTGCCTGCAGACGTCCCGGAGCATCTGCACGTGCAGACAGGTCCGTTCTCCTCCCAAACCGAATGAAACGGCTGCCCGTGCGATATCGGCCGCGTCGCCCGTCAGGGGCGCCCTCTCCGCCACCCACGACCAGTAGCTGCTGGTCGCCGTGCGCCGGCATAGCGAGACTTGATGGACGCCAAGAGCCTGTCCAAGGTCTAGTAGTAGACCCGTCGGTATGCGTCACGGGGCGTGGCCGGGTGAGCGGGAGGCGCACCGTCGTCCAGGCGGCGGGGAGGTCGACTCTGTCGGATGCTCCTCGGGTCGTCTACGCCGAGCTCCTTCGCTCGATGCACAGTGGCGGCCCAAAACTCGTCGAAGCGGTCTCGCTGACCTGCGACAGCCGTCTTCAGGCCATCCATGAGGCTCAGGTTTTCACTCACGAACTTATACGGCCTTGCACTCACGGACTGGGTCTGGCCCTGCACCGAGCGCACCACAGGTGTTGTGATTTTTAGCACATGCTGCGCCAGGCGGACGGCAAAGAAGAACCTGAACTGGAGCATCAGGTGGGCGAAGCCATTGGCTGTGCTTGCCGTTGGCGGGCGGGTGGTGCGGTCACCCGCTATGGCCTGCAGACTGTCTACCAGAGCAGGGTAGTTTTCGAGCACTGACGTTAGACAGGCCTCGCGACAGGTCCACGGAGTAGGACAGAGTGGACGGAGCGCCGTTTGAGCGCCTGCATCTTCCAGCGCCACTTGGCGCTTTCGTTCGTTCGTTGTTTGCGTCGGCCTGCCGCCGGAGGCGATATCGGCCGTGCTGGTGCTTTTCTCAAGTTCAGTACGCACACGGCGTTGCACTTTTTGTTGGCGTATTGCTCAGTCCGTTGTTTACAGGGGGAGGGGGATGGGGGAAGGTATTTCTACACATATTTTAACAGACAAGATACAAGCACACACATACAAGATGCAATCACACATTTTGTTTTCTTTCCATATTATTTTTTTTCTATTTCCTTTTTTGGGCTTTTTCTGTTTCTTCTTTCTTTCTTTTTTCATTTTATTTTATTTTTATTTGTTTATATTTTTTGCCTATTTTGCCTCTTTTTTAATACATTTTTTTATACACGAGATATTCACAAGTCAGTCACATATCATTAGTCACATAGTCACATGTCAACCCAGCTAAGTCGTGACCGAACACGGATAGATAACCGCCTTCAGCGGGTAAACACAGGCAAGCTTACCACTTGCTTCGAGAGGGGCTGCATACTGGTGGGAACACTAAAGGCCACCGCACACTAGCCATTCGGCCGGTTCATTCGGCCGTTACAGCAGCGATTTTCTCGCGCGAGTCTTTATATCGGCCGAATGACCGAAATGCTTGGAGCCGAAATATCGTCGTTAAAATATCGCCTGAAATGTTGTAACCGAATTCCAAGAGCGGAAATGATAGATATTTGTATAATTTATCTTGAAAGACTGAATGTAATCCAGCTTTTCAATAATAGACTTATCGAGATTTTCAAACGGATGGTAAAACTGAATTTATTGCATAGGTAGAAAGGAAAAGAAATAATTGGGTTAGTAGCATATTGAATACGTGACCTGCTTGATAAAGAAAATAAATAGGCATTCAAATGCAAACAAACATTGCTCAAAGTGCTCTGATGTCTGAGTTACTTTGACTCATGACTCCGTCATACTGCAAATAGTTAATAATAACCAGCAACATTACCTAACGTGCACTATCTTGGTGCTGTAAAGTCATAAGTAACACCTACTATGCATTTCAGACCCCATGAGACCCTGCTTTTCGGCGATAATTTCTTCAATTTTTGTCCAATTAGCTTGAAATTTTGGCAGACGATATTTCAGCTCAAGCGCCAATTTTTGTCAATATGGTCTCTTAACAAAATATCAAAATTTAGAGCACTTGTCGTTGGCTCGTAATGTTAATCAGTTTTTGCACCCGGATAGAGGCTCGCTCGCTACCGCACCGGATTGGATAGGAGTGCTGGCCAATCACGTTGCGCCGGGCCCAACTAAACTCCGCCCACTGGCCGTGACCGCGATGGGTCTATGCCGCTTCAGTCGGTGTCAGCACCGCGGAGAGGTCGGAGCGGGACCGCATACTGGAGACAATTGAAGCTGGCAAAGTTGTTTCGGGACGAAAGCCAAAGAATTATCCGTTTGAGGGCATTTGGTATCCTCTTAGTCTTCACCGTATTTTGGTATTTGAACGTCGAACCAGCTCAGAATATTCAGAATGATCAGAATCAAGGTAGGATCTATTGGAACGGAACCGACCGTAGAAGGAAAGATGGATAGACTCTTGGACTCTGAACATTTATTTAAGCTGGAGTTGCACCTATCTCATCGTCAGGTTGGGTCAGGTCACTACCCGATTACCTATAAGATCATGTGTAAGCCTGTGCTTAACCCAAAAATATTGATATATTTGGCAGTGCCAATAAATGTTTCTGAGGAAGGCGCAGAAAGCAACAAAGTAGGATGAAGAGTCTCGGGCACGGCCGATTGCCTGGGGCATCGCTCCGGCGAAACGACCGTATTCGTGATTCGTGAAGCGGTGCGGGGCGCCGGGTGGGGCAGAAGCGTAATGTGTCGTATGGTAGAAATGGCCTTTATCGCGGTGTCATGTGTGTGTTATAGGTATTGTTAAGACGTGCACAAAAAGAAATAGCAATGTGGCAGGCGGACGTTGGGCACTACACGAGAACGATCATAAATAAACTCGTATCTTTTTTGTAAAACTTAAGTAACAGTAGGTATGTCCTCAATGGTGAGGAAACTATCTCTAGGCTTTTACTTTTCATGTTTGCATTTCAACACACAAGCTCTGGGGGCAAAGTTAGTCTGGCGACCTCCTCAACCTATGTCGATGATCAAATGGATTAGTCCTGAAGGTGTTCAATGCTTAGTTGCACCGGGATGATATAAATAGATCACGCCGGCATACATTCCTAATCAAATTTCATATATCAAACACATAAATTGCATCATGTTAAAGGTAGTGTGCCACCTTTGAAAGATTTCCCATTTTATTTTTCCTAGGATAAGAAGCTTCTGTTTTTACCTAATATCGAAAAAAAATCAAAAATGGGCCTGGAATAGTGCCTTTTTCGCCTAAAAGTTTTTCGGTTTTTAGATATGTATAACAACTGTAGTGGGCTCACCTGCAAACAGGCGTCGGGCAACAATCGCGAATGCGGCGCACTTGTGACAATAAGCAAAGGTCATTATAGTGTTACGACCATACGACGTACGGGAATGAGTTATCAGCTGTCTAATCGTAGACAACACAATGTCGAGCCTTAAACTGTAAGCCCGTATTGGTTTTGTTTCTTTTATTTGGCTGTCGAACATTATTTATGGTTTGAAATATGATTTTATGTAAAATAATTGATATGAAAAAGCCGTCTTATAAGTTATGACCCCATTTCACCACACGCAAGTGGCAGAAATGACAATGATCAGCTGACGCATTTTTCTTGGCCGAAGTCAGAGCGCGCGGTCCGACGCACCACGCGTATTTGGAAATTCCGACCTCGACGAGCATCAGAAGCCACCTAACAGGCGTGTTCGAAACCGCAGGAGATGATGATGAACGGGTTTATCGAAACTTGATTGGATGAGCATATCGGTAATAGCGATTTCAGTGTGTGCATTTATTGTTCATAGTGGTGTGAAATGTGGTTGGGGTACGACCGACAACCCGTCGGGGCGAATTTCGCACTGGGGTACTCAAAATTTGAAGAATTTAAGACGTTTCCATGAGTTTTGAAGGTATGGATAAGTTCTAAAAATCCGGTTCTCCTTATCTGGGCCATTAACTCCATACGGTCCAAGAAAGCTGGCACACTACCTTTAATGGTGATTCTGTTTTGCAATTTTGACGTAGTCTGACGCGATACATAATCTTACGCAATCATTTGAAATCAACAGCGTCTTTTATGCGCGTTTTTTCACAAGCCCCGAATCTTGTGTGGAAATATATATATATATATATATATATATATATATATATATATATATATATATATATATATATATATATATATATATATTTTGTGACTGAACAAGGTGTACGTACATTTGTGATAGATACAATTAGTCGAGGGCTTCAGCTGGTGCGTTACTTATGCGCGCTATTTAACTCATTCGATGAAATTACGGTTGCAACGACAACTGCACGGCAGCAGCAGCTACGGTCCGTGCGAGCCGCCCCGGTGCGACAGCTACTGCCCCGCCCGCCCCACGCAGCCGACTGACCGGCCAAGGTCACTACCCCGTCCGCCGGGAGGGCGGAGCTTAATGGTCACGTGTTTGTGACGTCACACCTACGCACGGATAGCCTCTACTCCACTGACGGATTTACGGAGCCGATTTTAACATTAGGAGGCAACGACAAGTACCCTAAAATTTGATATTTTGTTAAGAAACCATATTGGCGAAAATTGGCGCTTGAGCTGAAATGTGCATTGTGAAAATTTGAAGCAAATTGGACAAATAGTAAATAAATTATCGCCGAAAATTAGGGTCTCATGGGGTCTGAAAAGCATAGTAGTAGGGCGTAGGCATGGATTCTGAGCCACCCAGCAACCCGTACGCACCCCAACTGGCCACCGCGTCACTTCGCCTCAAGCTGGCACTGAAGAGGGCACAGGAGAGACGCAGACCTCTGGCTCGGCGCAGGCTGTGGGTCAGCGACGTGCTGCAGCGCCGCGACGAGCTGGGCGAGTACGCCAATTTAGTGCAGGAGCTTCGGCTCAACGACCCCCAGCGACACCTCCAATACTTCAGACTCAACAAGGGGGCCTTCGATCTGCTCCAAGCACGGATTGAAGACGAAATCACCCGGTCGACCACCACCTCCCGCCAGCCGGTCAGTGCACCGCAGCGCCTGGCGGTGACGCTCCGCTACCTGGCGTCGGGAGAGGAGTTCTCCGCTCTGGCGCCGAGCTACCGGCTCGGAGAGTCGACCACGCGCGCGGCGGTGTACACCTGTCGCGCCATCGCACAGTGGGGATTTTTCCGATCTAGCGCCTATTAATTCAAAAAATATTTTTTGGATTTTTGTTTATTTTTTGTGTCAGTGGGGCTAAGAAATGTCTGAATTTTTCATATATGGCATTGTTTTATCTGTATGTCTACAGCAAAACTAGGAAAAATGCGCCCAAAGTTCACACTCATGCGTGATTACTCATTGGGCTCAGCAAGGCCCGAAAGTATAGCTCAATTTCATTGTCCTGTCCTGTTGGTTTTAATCTTGCGAGGTCTTAAAGTTGCATATCGTCTGAAAGGCACCTTTATTAGGAATGGAATGGCAAACAGAAAGTATGCCACAACCTTACTAAGGTCACAAAAATGCCCTTTACAAAAAAAACCCTTACAGACACCATATTGAAGGAATGGTATTCTAAATAAATGTAGGAAATCAACAATGTTCTCCACACTTTTCCACTCCGAAATATATCCTATCGAATTCGCCACTTTCTCCTGCACAAGACAACGCCTAGTTTGGCTGCCGAAACTTGCCTGAACACGGAATATTCACATTAGAGTATCTTAACACCCCACTCGAGGAGCGCTAGGGCAAACAGCACGATATAGGTATGTTCCGGACATAGGCGAATAATTTTACTTCGTGATTTATATGATGCATATTTTCTGAGACACATTCATTAGGAATAGGATGACAAGTATAAATTATACATACCGTAACTGTATCTCTAGAAGCATCAAACTCTAGAAGCATCAAATTTCTTCGACATCATGGGGTCCAGCTCCATATGGGTGAGATATGTGGACGATGTCCTAGTGATCGTTCCAGAAAACACGAATCTGGAACAAAAACTAGCGCAACTGAACAACGTCAATGCGAAGATACAGTTCACGATCGAGTACGAAGAAAACGACCGACTAGCGTTCTTAGACACGTGTATCATCAGAAGAGAGACAGGTTTCAAATTTAAGGTGCATAGGAAGCCAACCAACAAAGAAGATTATGTTCATTTTTACTCTGGCCACAGTGAACGTGTGAAAAGTGGTATAGTTATAGGTCTCTTTTTACGAGCGATGAGAATTTGTGATGAGGAGTTCTTGGACGAAGAGATTAAACATATTTACAAAGCTTTCACGAAACTGAAATACCCGAAGGGGTATCTCATTCGGCAAAAGCAAAAGGCCGAACGGATAAGGAAGACCCCAAAACAAAAAGAAAAAGAACAAGGGAGAAAAAAGCTAAAATGGATATCGATTCCAAACTCCAAGAGCGCGGAGGCAATTTCCAAATCACTAGAAAAGACAGGCATACGAGTAGCAACGAACACGGGAACGAAGATACACGAGATGATTAAACGAAGACCGAAAGAGACGTCCGGCACATCCGATTCTCCGAAAAGTGTAGTATACGAAATTCCTTGTGGTGGGTGTGAAAAAAGCTACGTGGGAGAAACGGGGAGGGGGGTCGAAACGAGACTCAAAGAACATAAAAGTGACCTCAAGTTTCATCGAACTTCGAACGCAATCGTCTTACATGCCGAACAATCTCATCATTTACCGAACTGGGGAGCAACTCGATTATTAGAGAAAGGCGCACGAAAAACGACACGAAAAATCTTAGAAGCGGCTCACATATCTGCACGTGATACCATCAATACTAGAACTGGATTTATAACTTTAGCAACATGCGCTGTGAACTTAGTGGCAGGACCCCGATAGCTAATCTCGTGACTGTGATATATTTTTCGAGTGCTATTTTATATTCGTGTACAAGCTGCCGGTGATCATTTCTGTCCTCATTTCTGTAACACAGTGATCAAGGTATTTTCGTACCGAAAGCTTTGTGTGTCTAAATATACATTTGACTTGTTATTGTTATCATTTATCCTAACATACCGTAACCTTATTAACCATCGCACTTGTGGGGAGGGGGAGGGGGAAGGGGTCGGATAAAACCCCATGGTTTTCCGCAAATTACTCGCGCAAAAAGCGGCCGATCACGCCGAAACTTTCGGTGCCCTCGAGATCATCAATATTACATCTAACCTAAAAATTTCATGACTCTGACCCAACTGACCTTTGACCTGTGGCATATTTCTCGAGACCATGTTTGGCCGGAATCGCGATTCGGCGTATGCCAGCTCACATTATCCGCGGTTTCCAGTCTTTTTGTGGTTTTAAACGTTCAAATATGTGAAATGATGTTGGTGCCATGCATAATGGTGGGTGGCAAGGTCACGTGAAGGTCAAGTCAAGGTCATTGACCTTTTGATGACCTTGGTTCACTTTTTCGAGTTTTACTTGTTTCTAGGGTAGTTTTTGGTGCTGATTTCGATTTTAGCAGCCATTTGAATACTTACGAAGTAGTTCTGGTGCCTTCGTTCCATGCTACGAAGCTATCAGTAGTAGGTGACACTTCTATGGATAATGGATGGCCGGCAGGACGCCTACTAGTTGATCTAACCTGACCTGACCCGACCTGGCCTAAATGCATAAAGACATCGTCTGTGATCAAAACTAACATGAAATTCGTGATCAGCACCCCAAAATACCCCGTAACACCCTAACTTTGCGAAGTTTCAAGAGGTCTCGATTTCCCAACTTTAGTTGGGTCATTAAACTGACTTGGAAAGTCAGCTTATGACCTTGGACTTTGAAATTGGATATATTCGGCCTCATTTCGTCATAGGCAGCACGCTTGACTTTTCCGCGAAGCTCTAGCTTGATCAGGGGCCAAACGGCTGAGCGGGGGGTCCAATTGAACCCCCTATACTATGTTGATTATGCACATTTACAGGTAAAATTCTCACCAGGACACACCAGCCAACATATGTGCACAATCTGGCTACAATTCTACCTATGGTTTGCCCTCTACGAATAAATACGTGCTAGATCGGAAAAATCCCCACTGTGCATCGTGGACGTCCTCGGTCCGGTGTACCTGCCGGAGCCGACGGAGATGTGGCGCGCCAGTGAGCGGGAGTTCCGGGAGTGGTGGCAGTTCCCCAACTGTGTTGCTGCCATCGACGGCAAGCACGTGACGATTCGTGCGCCTCCCAACTCTGGTAGCGAGTATTTCAACTACAAGCACCAGTTTTCGGTGGTGCTGATGACCGCCGTGGACGCCATGTATAACTTTGCGTTTGTCGCGGTAGGGAGTGCGGGGAGGGAGAGTGACGGCTTCCGGAGCCTCCGACTGGCGCAGCGACTGGCGGACGGGAGCCTCGGGCTGCCACAGCCTTCCCCACTACCGGGCGGCCGAGAGGCGCTTCCGCACGTGCTCGTCGGAGACGAAGTGTTCCCCCTCCTGCCCAACCTGATGCGGCCTTATCCGGGACGAAGGGAAGGGCAGATGGGCGACCGCGGCCGCGTCTTCAACTATCGCCTATCCCGCGCGCGCCGTGTCTCCGAAAATGCCTTCAGAATCTTGGCCCAGACGTGGAGGCTGCTCCTCCATCCGCTGAACGTGGACCCAGAGCACGTCAAGCTGCTCGTTATGACGGTCGTCATCCTCCACAACTTCCGACGCAGCGAAGATGCGAAGCGCGTTGAGATGACGACCGAAAACGCCCCTGACGCAGTCGCACCGACCTCCGGGGCACACGATGTGCCAGCTCTGGCGAGAATGCCAAGCAGCAGCTCCCACAACCATACCAGGGCAGCAGAGCAAGTACGCGAAACGTTCTGCCACTACTTTAGTTCCGAGGGCGCTGTTCCGTGGCAGGTCGGCCTTTAAGCCCGTCGAACGAGTGACTGTGGCTAGCTGTAGTGCCTGCAGTCTGTAGTGTGCCTGTACCTAAAATCTTGACTTGAACATGTCTGTCGGTTTTTAAAGAGGGGAAATGGCGAAACCAACTGTGTTCACGAATGAAATACATGATACGGATTTGTGTTATATTACAATGTTTAAAATATTTGAGGTCAACGAAGATAGCAGGTATAACGAACGCTGGCATCGTTTGTACCTGAAAGCCCGATTGCGAGAGATTTCGATGGCGAGGATCGAAAGCAAAACAACAACAATAAATAAAAACGATGTAACAGTTTTAAACTATAAGAACACGCAACAGCAATGTAAGCATAACAATGTCCGGCAAACATAGAGCATTATAATACAAACATACAAACATAGGGCATTATTCTTCTCACTGCCCCTACCCCAAACATGGTCCATCCCAACTCGCTAATTAATGCCGCCGCTCAGGACCAAATTGACAAAAGCTTAACACGCGCAGATTACTATTGCCCGTTGTCATGGTGTCAGTGACAAAAATGTAAAATATCGGAGGAGGAAATTAAATGTGTAAATTGCGGTCAACAGTAAGAGTCATCACACACTCACTTTACAAACAAGCCATGTAATAATGCTCGTTGAGGTCTTCGCCCGAGGGCAAGAACCAGCCGATGGCGAAAAGCTGGCAGCACTTCGAAGTGTTCAATGGGCTTCAAAGTGTTCATCCCGTACCAATAAATGTCGCTAAATATGCTGCCGCTCAAAAGAAAATTAAAGTTTAATAAATCACACACGCGTGGATTAATATTGCCCGTGGTCATGGTGTCATTTACAATGATAGGCTATCCCCCAGAAAAAATGTCATGTGGAAATTGCGGTCAACAGTCAAAACTACCAAAAGAAGCATCGTAGGAGCCGATGTAATAATGAAGCGGCTGCTTTACTCAAGGCGCTGGGCCTCCCTTAAAACTTCTAGGAGTTTCACCTTCGTCTGAAGCTTGTTTGCTTCAGGCACCTTTTTTAGCTCTATTCCTACGCACTGGCCGAAGACCAGGTCGGCATCATTCAGTGGTTTGGCAGCCTCTTGAATACTTTGGAGTGCTGCCAGCACTTCGTCATCTGCTGTTTGTTGCCGGGCGCGGGCACGACGCGAGGCTCGCCGTGAGGTCGAGGGCCCTCGCTCGGAGGCGCCCGGTGGTGTTGCCGGCACCGATCGCCCCGGAGCCGGGTCTACCTCGGGCGCCGGCCCCGGAGCTGGGGCCGACTCGGGCACCGGCCCCGGAGCTGGGGCCGGCCCTGGAGGCGGAGCTGGTGTGTCGTCGTCTGAGTCAGAATTTTGCTGTAAAAACGGAATATCCAGAATCAGAAACATGGGCTAATGGCACACAAGTTCCTATCACGCTTAAAGGGACCCTCCCACCTTCAAAAAAGTTAATGAATTGGCATGAAAGTGATGTCACTCGGTTCAGAAAGAGCAAAAACGAATATCTACCAAATTTCATCGAAAAATTTTCACCGGTTTTCAAGATATTAGACTTTTACTTTTGTTTACTTTTTGGGATCTCCGCTGTTCCTAGCCACTTGCCACTTTATTTGAAAGTGCGGCATTTGTTGCGCGCAAAGCAGCATATACCACCGCGTGCTACAAAACGTTTTAGTCAAACATTTAACGGACGTTCGAAAGCCTGATGACGTCATCAGATTCCCGTAATGGTTAAGAGATAGGGACCACGCTGGTCCCACCCTGCAAGTAAAGGGAAGAAATTTCTTGAACACCATAAAGCTGCGGGGGTTGCGACCAGGATAAATGGTGGTTTCTGAGCCTGGCCGCAAACTTGGCTATCTCAACTCAAAACTAATGTTAAGGTGGGAGGGTCCCTTTAATACACACTAGAATGACACGCGTGATGTCCACCCGAGAAAGACATCGATGTAGGAATGGGGCTGTAGGACATCGATATATTTACCCTCCCGCAATGTGCCTTTTGATCCATGAATCATTCCAGGGCAAAACATTTTTATCAGGGAGACACCGGTTGGTCACGTGACTCGGAAACAAAAATCAGCTGATAGAGTAGCGGAATCGCCGTAATCGAACACGAATAATTCCGGACGATAGAGCGGCAGTATAGGAGTTTTCTTCACAACAGGCAAACATTGCAATGTTTTATCATTCTATGATCAAGAAACGTTCATAAATCATATATTTCTTCGATAATTACTGCCGCAACCGACGCCCACATATCGTAGCCAGCGTAGCCACATAGCGTAGCCAGCGCATAAAGCTGTGCTTTGCGATATTATATGTAAAGAAACGGCCAATGCTTATTATGTGTAACAAAGCTCGAAGAAGATAGAATTCTATCCTGCTTCAACCTTCTACTTACGCTTTTATAATTACGATAGCGACACCATACGGCCTATCGACGCTATGCAACTCTATGGAGTGTCCGGCCGCACTCTGCCGAGTGTGCCGAGATCAGAGGCGATCCGCGGCACGTCCAGCTGCACTGCCCGGTCGCTGGGAGGGCGACACCTAGCGCCGCTCTGGCCGCTCGCTTCCGCGCACAACTAAGCTACCTGGCTACGCCTGTGGGAGGGGAGGGAGAAAACCAATAACAGTCTGATGAGCCAATGGAGTCTGTGAGCCACGCCAATCAGCGCCCTTCCGCGCGCAGACGAGAGCTAGAGCTATTCATCTTCTTTCCTGTTTTCACTGGTCCGCCAGTCACCAGCAACGTCCGTGCAGTCGATCGTAGCCATTTCGCGCCAGTCGGCCGCCAGGATATCTACAATATCTATTCTTGTATAGCATTGCAAGCATTTTAGTATTTGTAGCCGGGTGTTATCAGTAGTTGACGCATTTCTGTGTTTTGTGTAACACAATTGGAAAATACAGCGAAATACATACTTAAATTCACATAGTTTTTATTCTTGGCACGGATTGCTTACCCTTGCTTCAGCAAACAGCCAATCTCCATATTTCTGTTCCGAAGCTGCAGTGGACACCAAAAATACATTACGTTATGATAACATAATCCAAAGATGCACAGATTTCACGCTGAACTGCTAGGTTCCAGAGAAGGCATTTTCTCGCTCACGGATGCTCAGCAAAAACGCGCGATTGATTGCAGCTAGCGCCCTCACGATACAAATATCACGCTCGTCAAAACCTGCCGGTTACAGCCACTCACACCTTACTTCCAACCTCTGTTACATTTATCATTTATTAGCATATCGAGACAGAATGAGACCACGGCATGATCGTCAAATTACATAACAGAAATTGCAGGACATTGGCGAGTCCGTAAAAATACCCCAATCTCAGCCAACACCGTTGAGACGGAGGGGGAATGGGGTCGAATCCGGGACACGTATCGGCGTATCCTTCACAGATCCAGGTGTCTCACGCTCATGGACGCTCAATCACCCCTGGCACACCATCCACCGATCACCTCGGCTCTGGCCTCTGACTATCTTAATTTCGTACTGAGATCTTATGACGGGCCTGCCATTTGATCCTATCCGACAGTGCAGTGCACTACACCCGAACACAGCCTTAAGTGCACTATGCGGCCTTCTTCGGATGACGCCTCAGAACAGGGCACTCGGAGCAGGTGTTGCACCCAAATGCCTGTAACCTCTTGTTCGTGCCCGGCAATCAGCATTTCGGAGTCGGATGGTCTCAGGCGGTGGCAGCACTTGTCGCCGTGAAGCCTTCGTTCGGGCGACACCGTCAGCTCGAGCGCCGACAAGTCACGGAGTGACCTGTAACACAGCGAGTCGCAGCACGTCACGTCTCACGACGACCGTCACGTTTCAGCCCCGACGGCCGTTATGTAACAGTCACGGCAGCCGTCACAAAACCAGCCACGGCGACCGTCACATTGTTCACCACACGGTCGTAAAATACTAGCCACGGCGACCACGACTCATGGCTCATAACGTCTCCTGTCGCACACTTAGCTATAATAACAGTACATTAGCCTGTAAATACATTTCTCACTCAAGAAAATGACGCCCGAGCGAGTCCGAGATCCACCAAACGTCACGACACTGGCAACGGCACCCGCATTAGCCGGCATCCCGTCCCGGTAACAAGTACAAAGTTCCCTCAAGCCGCTCACCTAGGGACGCGGCGACGTGTCACAAAATTGTAAGCACGTCACTGACCTGGTGACGTGGCGGGACACAGCTGACCGAGCAGTTTTCAGCATGCGTTTCATCAAACTGTGTTTTGAACCAATTTGCCACGTCATCACGCACATTATTAATTCTTGTTTAACGTCTCACACAGTCCCTCGGTCATGGAAGCTCGCAGTGATCCATCCCATCCAGAAAAATCCTAAATCTACAGAGACATCAAACTTCAGACCAATATCCATCCTTCCAACGATCGCCAAAATCACTGAACGAGTAGTATATGAGCAACTTTTTTCCTACCTCTCAGCCCATCATCTCTTTTCCCCCAGCCAGCATGGCTTCCGAAACAACCATTCTACCGAAACTGCACTTCTGACCTTAACTGACAGGGTTTTTGAGGCGATGGATCGACGACAGGTGGCGCTACTTTGTATGCTGGACTTGTCTAAGGCCTTTGACGTGATACCCCACGACCGATTGCTCGTCAAACTTGAGCAGTACGGCGTCGACGTCCGCTGGTTCTCCAGTTATCTTACCGATCACCAACAACAAGTCCAGATTCGTACACCGGACGGTCGTGGTACTCTGTCACGGCCTTTGGACAACCCCATCGGCACCTATCAGGGATCCGCGCTCGGGCCGTTGTTGTTCAACGTGTACACCACCGATATGTCACTGTTTTTGCCGGAAGGTGCCTTGTACGATCGTTGTCTTGTACAATACTGTGATGACACGCAGCTAGCTGTACTGGGGAGTCCAAGCGATGTCGGAGCTATGGTAACCCAGTTGGAGCGGGACCTTGCAGCTCTGTCACTCTGGTTCCGAAAAAATGGGCTAAAGATTAACGCAGATAAAACTCA